GTTACCCAGTCACGGCTCAAAATGCAACAGGTGGTGTCGAACCATGACGCTTGCCTCCCCTGCGCCGAGCTGTCTGGTAGAGAAACGACCCGAACAGGTTCGTTTACAAACATGACTTGGCCCTGGGTAGAGACCCGCAACGAGTGAGCTACGCGAGCAAGGCGCTAGAGCCGCGCGCTGCGAGCTATTTTGCTCGTGGACCGCGCGATTTCCTTGCTCGGCTCTGCTCGGCTCGCGCATGCGACTACGAGCTATTTAGCTCGTGGCTTGTGTGCGCGGCGGCGCTGCAGGCGCAGGCGACGGCGAGCAGGGGAACCTGCATGCTGTAGCAATGGGCCGGGCCTGCGAGCAAATTTGCTCACACGAGCAGCGCGAGCAGCGCCAGGGGGGCCTTCGGAAAGCTAGGCTGTCTCCGCCAAGGAGGCGCGCGGCTCCAGCGCGTTGCTCGCGTAGCTCACTCGTTGCGGGTCTCTAGCCCTGGGTGGATCGGAAGGCAGAGCCAAACGGTAGACTCAGTAGACCGAGGGTTTTTACAGAAGGGTATTGGGCGCGCGGTCGATCTCAAGACACACTGCACTCGGCCATTTCACACGAACACGACACTCGGACGCTGCAGTTTGATCACTGCACTAACACTGCGCTGGCCTGGCGTTGGTCCGTTGGGTTGGGACGGCGAGGTCTCTCGAGCGCCCGCAGCGTAGGCAACAAACACACTCCAATGCTTGGATGTCTTCGTACTGCCAACCTGCCAGGCGTTCGACCAGCCAGAGGCCAGAGCGCCAAGCGCCGCCGTTGGGTTGGGACGGCGAGGTCTCTCGAGCGCCTGCAGCGTAGGCAACAAACACACCCCAATGCTTGGATGTCTTCGTACTGCCTACCTGCCAGGCGTTCGACCAGCCAGAGGCCACAGCGCCGAGCACCACCGCCGCACAGATGGATATCAAGGCCGATCGCCCAGGGGCTCAGACCGAACCAAGACCTAAGAAGGAGGGAAAAGTCAGCATGACATCGAAATGACGTCAAAATGGCCTCAAAATTGGGGACCATTTCGACGTCTACGTGATGTCAAAATGGTCCCCAATATTGATCTTAAAAGTTGACATCATTTTTATGTCATTCTGACTTTGCCTTCCTCCTTGGGGAGGGTACGCAGTCCCGAATCAGACGTTGCAGTGTTGCGGGACTGCATTGCATACTACACTGAAAAACCAAGTGTTCAACTGCATGTAACACTTGTAAATGTGCAACTGCAAGTTAAATACTTGAAATTGTTTAACTCCGTAGGCTTGCACTAGCAAGTGTTTAACTCGATAGCTGTGCGCTTGCAAGTATAAGTGTGCAACTCTTCGATTGAACTCTCCCTTAGATTGGACGCTTACTGTGCGGCAAGTGCAGAACAGACGAGTTGCACACTTCAAGTGCACAGCTACCGAGTTTACCCTCTTGGGCCGCAGGGGCCATTGCGCCTTGCGACTTGCTGAGGAAACGGGCGCACTACTATTAAAAGCTAAAGGCGAAATTCCCCCGTTAGGCTACGGTGAATCAGAGGGTGCATCATCGCAATAACTTACGATGATATTATCCCGCATAGCTACAGTGCTGCAAGTTTCACTGTCGCTTACGGTGAAAGTTTTGAAAATATTGCACCATGCAATGCAGTCTGCCATAAGTCATCTCAAAGTACTAATTATCACGCCCGCAGGTGAACACTGCCGCACCTGTAGTTTGTAATTAATCGACGAGAAAGTTTTGGGTGTCGTAAATTTACAACATATTTTGTAAATATTACTTACAAAATATATATCGTAAACTTACGGCGGTATTTTTCACAGTGTGGACGGTAGTCGCCACAGCGCTGACTCAACCGTGACTGGTCGCGACCCCAGTCACGCCCGCGGCCTCTTCTTCGTCTCGTGTTTTCATTCAACCCATAAACTCTTCACATCCCTCTCCGTGACTCACCCACCCCAGCCCCGAAGGTAGAACCATGCATCATCCTTCACATAAATTGTACCCTATAGTTTCTTACCAGCGACTACTCTTTATAGCGAACGAATATTTGGGGTTCGCTTGTAATACGTGTAAACACTGGCATTTTAGGAACAAAACAGCGAAGCGTCCTGTTGGTCGGTTAAGAGGGGAGAGGGGCACGTTTTTTTCCCCTTTCTGGTTGACACAGTTTTGGGGAATGTCTAAAAAGTATTTTTATCCATTCAACGCCAATGCACAGCCTTGGGGTGTTTTGGTAACTCGCCCGTCGGTTTGCGGCTGATTGCGTCTGCTGCTGGAGCTAACCGTCGCAATACCGACTGCAGAAGCCACACTTGTGGGCCAACGCCTTCCGTGAATCTGACGCGGCTGCTGTTGACCCCGGGCCCACGCGGGCTCACGAGCAGGGTCCCCACAGTCTCCGGCGGGCAGGGAGCCACTGCCCTTGACCGCGGGTGGGTCGCCGCTGCGCCCGCTGCGCCGGCAGGGCGGTTCCCACAGCGGTGCTGCTCGCGTGGATGACACCGTAGCTGCTCCCCTAGTCTGGCTTAGTATTATGAGATGGAATCACAGTCAAAGGGGTGGGAGAGGGGTGGCCGGGAGGGGTAGGCCGAGCCCTGGCGTTCATATATAAGCGGCGATGAGCGACTCTGTCAGCACATTCAGTCGTCTGCCTCGAGAAGTAGAAGGCCCGCAGCACCATGATGCGACAAGTGAGTATGATAGAGAGTCGGGTATAGAAGACGCAATTCAATCAAAAATCATTGCCCGAGATGAATCATAGAATTTAAGTCACCTTGCGACACACTTTCTTACATCGTGGGACGATACGATATTTTCATCGACTGACCAGTGCATCCCTCTCTGTCCAGGTCGTGTGTCTGATGGCGCTGTGCGCAGCCGCCACGGCCGCCCCCCAGTACCAGGCTGCCGCCCCCGCCCCCGCCGCCGTGCCCTTCGCGGCGCCCGCCGCGCCGGCCCCGGCACCTCAGTACCAGTACCCCGCGGCAGAGCCCGCGCCCGTCTCCTACGCACCTCCCCCACCGCCACCTCCACCACCACCGCCGGCCGCCCTGCCTGAGATCTACCCGGCCGCCGCCCCCGCCCCCGCTGTCCAGCCCTCGTACGCGCCGCCTCCATTGCCTTGTAGCACCAGTTTTTTTGTCTTACAAAGATGTGTTTCGCAAAGCAGTGCTTTTATGAGCTACGAAGCCAGTTCTTTGTAACTAGTGTTACACTACAGTGCTTCTTGAAGCAACTGCTTTCTTCGCAGCCTGCAAAGAAAATCTGTTGTACTACCAAGCAATGCATCGTAGACTTTGTTTAACAGTGCGGAGCGAGAGAGGGGGCAGGTCGGAGCGCCTAGAGCTTAGGCAGGAGCAGGACACCCAAGCGTCGCGTGTGTTTGTTGCCTACGCTGCAGGCGCCCGTTGGCCGCCCGGCCCGTGGTTGCGTTTAGCGCTAAGCTGTCAGTCCGCGTCACGCGCCACACTTGGTGTGGGGAGCGCGTTACATAACTCATTGTTAGGCGATTTGGTGTGGTGATTTGGTGGGTGTTCGCGCACGCACAAGGTGCCGGGACGCGTGGTGTGCTGGAACAGGATGGCAGGTAGAAGTCTTTCAGAAGAAAAGGTAGAAGGAATCATTTGGCGGGGAATCAATAAAGATCAGTAGGGACAGAATTATTGAACAGAGAATAAAGAAAGAGCAGTGTGTACTGTACTGACCTTCACCCGGGCCCTTGCCCTTCCTCCCTACGCCCCCCCCCCCTTTCGCACACGGCTAACACGGGGTTGCGCGTGGTCATGGGGCAGGGTGGGGGGTGGGGGGGAGGTGGCAGCTTACTATCATTCCTTAGGGTTTCTATAGTGGTAGAAAACGCTTATTTTAAATAATTTGTACCAGTTCCACTAGTTTCACGCTTAGTTTAAGCGATTTCAATTGATTTCGATTACTTTTTATCCTGATGATTCCCAGGCAAAAATGTTAACAATTCTTGTTAACTGTGAAATGAACCCACGGTTAGCAAGATG